TAATTTTCCAAATCAAAATTCCAAAACTCAAACATTCATAAAGAATTGCAAAGGTTTAAATTTTCTATAAAATATATTATTATTATTATTTAAAATTTGAAGTAATTTATTCTCTACTTTTCTTTCATATACTTCAAATTTCAGTGGCAATTTTATCTATAAAAGTGTGAAGTTATTGTACCTACATAATAAAAATTCTAAAAAATTCAATGCACCGAAATGATGCAACATAATATTTTTAAAAATATATAAAATATCTTTAATTGTTATTTTACCTATAAATGACTAATATCAAACCCCTATTTTATTTATAAATGACTAATATAAAACTGCTATTTTATCAAACATTTTGGTACAAACAAGTAATATATTTAACTAGTCAAATCAATTAATTTAATCAGCTAACAACTAACAACTAACAACTAATTGAATAAGCTATCAACTAATTATTGCCAAACACCCGTAGGTCACGAAATGAAATTCATGCATGGAGTTTTGTTTGAATATGTATAGGTTGATGAAACTTACTCATATCCATAAAAGAAAAATAAAACTATAGGTACTCACTAGCCACTCTAAAAGCGACGTAAATGTGTGTGCACAAACTTTCACCTTTTCGAGCGAAGTTTTGACTCGTCGTAACTGAGGCTCTAAATGACCTTTTTGAATGAAATTTTATTTCATTCTATATAAGTTGAGTTAAAATGCTCATATCTAGAAAAAAATTTAGGTACTAAAATGCTGTCCAAAAAGTGAGACCAGTGTGTGTGCAGGCCCAAGCCATTATATTTTCTAGTAAAATTTCGACTCATCATAAGTAGAACACAAAATGAGCCCTTTGAAAAAAAAAATTTAATATGTATAACGCGATAAAATGTACTCACATTCTGAAAAATATACAGGAACTCAAACACCATCCAAAAAGTGATACATGTGTGTATGCACAAGCCGGCGGCAGATTTTAAAATTCAGTATTGTGCTGACAACACACCGCAGCACACGGTGTTACTACCGGCAGCACACGGTGTTACTACCGGCAGCACACCGTCTGCATTCATGTAATACAAATACAACACATGAACTAACAACATTAACTAACAACACATGCTATAGTCTTGTACAACACAATAATACATGATTTCAGCACACCACATACTGTTATAAAACACACTTGTAATTATGAACCAACAATATAAATACAACATATGAACATACAGCACATGCTATGGTCTTATACAAGACAAATACTAATTAATTTCAGCACACCATATAATGTTATACAACACATTATAATTACGAAGCAACATCACGCGTAATTCTTATACACAACATGTATTGTATATAATAAAAATGTGTGCTTTTTGTATATATTACGAGTGATGATTTGAAAAATCAGCACGGTGCTGATTTTTCCAATTCAGTACCCTATTCGTTCCGCACAAGCCTTCTTGTTTTTAGTAAAGTTCTAAGTTCTCATAATTAGGACTAAAAATGATTTTTTTTAGTGGAATTTTCTTTGAATATGTACAAATTGATAAACATATTAATAGCCTACAAAGATTCTAGGTACCCAAATACAAGCCTTTATCTTTTGAAGTGAAGTTTCGATTTGTCATAAGAGATTCAAATGAGCTATGCTGATGAAAATTACTCATTGATATATATATATATATATATATAATATGCATTCACACACCATAAAAAAGTGACACAAGTGTTCGAGCAAAAGCCTTAGTATTTTCTAGTCAAGTTTCGACTTGTCATAATAGGGACTCAAAATGAGATTTGTGGAAGACATTTTCTTCCAAAATGAGATTGATATGACTAGAGCTGAGGTGGACTGCTTGGTGGCATTTTTCCTACAATGACGTGGCAACATAATCTTAAAAATAAAAAAAAAAAAAAAAACAGAAAAAAATCTATTTTCGCAAATTAGGGCAATTGAACCAAATTGTAATTATTGTAATTTAATCTCATCTCTTCTACTTACCGAATCCTTTTATATATATATATATAGAACCTAATTAAATTGTATCAACTCTATGCATGTATTGTTATGTAAGTATTGCGAAGAACACAACAAAACAATGCACAAAACAAGAATTAATTTAGTCATCTAGTTTGGATTAGTTACAGCCCTGCAATCTCGGGTTTTTCACTATATATATATATATATATGAAATCGACCGTAATTTAAATTATACTGAACAACTGAAGGTAAATAAGTAAATATTTCTAAGCTACTTAATTAAATCATAAGCTAAAGAAAAAAACAAAAACAAAAACAAAAACGGATGATAGATGCAAATGGTAATTACAAGGAAACGAAGATAGACATTAAGTAAATCATCCACACATATAACAATAATGTCTTTGGTTTAGAGAAAAATGAAGTACCACTTGCAAATGGTACCGAGCAATATTTCTCCTCATTGCCAAAACCTTTAAAGCTTTCGACTACATATTACCGAATAATTTCTGGAAATCTTTCTTCAACACTTGAATTCTTATTACACTACAAAAAATAGTATATTTGTAACGAAATTTCGTCCCTAAAGTTTACTTAGCTAACATCATTCAATCCCTAATTCCGTCTCTAATATCATTAATAATGAAAAAAGTAAATTTAGGGACGAAAAAACTTTGTTACAAAAATGATATTTTCTTGTAATGTTACCAAATTCAAGCTAGAAGAAATCGATTTAGCAAGTTAGAAGCCACAAAACAATTATGACAACTCCTCAAATTAAAAGTACCTTGGATATATATATATATACATACCATCATCATCTTCTTCTTCTTCTGTCCTTACGGCAATCAGTCAGGCAGACTCATTACCTTCATCTTCCTCTCTGTCTTCAGCTTCAGATTCATCATCTTCATCTTCATCTTTCTTTGTGTCTTCAGCTTCAGATTCGTTGTCTTCATCTTCATCTTCAGACACCTCATCTTCATCTGTGTCATCATCTACATCGGAATCATCGGAATAATTAGAATAATCAGAGACATCCACCTCGAGTATATCATTTCCCACACTCTGTTGTTCCTCTAATATCTGGTATGCCGAATCCACAGCAGACTTACTGCAATTTGTCAAACGAATATCACGCAGTGTCGGTATATCTCCAACACCTGAAGGGATTTCTTCCAGCGAAGGTAGTTTATCGAGTCTAAGCATCTCAAGCACCGGATAGTGGTATTGATCAGCTCTCCAAGCTACTAAATCACTACCAACAATCCACAATATTTTTAATCGAAGAAATTCCCCTTCAGTTGGATTCCACTCAGAGCCCTCTGCAGTATACCACAACATAAGAACTTCGAGATTAGGCAATGAACCAACCACTGACATACCAATCCAAGGAATTCTGCATTTCCTCAGAAACAGTGATTTGAGTGAATTTGGAAAGCCGATGTTCAGCAATGTCTTTTCGACAGTTAGACTTTCAAGTTTCTGTAATCTGCCAAGATTACACAAACAAGTATCCAACTCTCTCATACGCTTATCATACTTTATTCGTAGTTCCTTCAGATTAGGAATTCTACCAAGAATCTCATTGGTGAGCTCAAAATTCATTGCAAAGCGAAGGGTGTGCAGGTTCTTCAGAATGAAGATATCTTTCTCTCCCACATGAGCAAGATAAGGCTTCGGCAACACCATATCCCTGAAGTCAATAATTCTAAGTTGCGGCATATGCCATATTTCAGATGGTAAAACTACCGAAGATGAATATGGGAATATCAGACTCTGCAGGTTCCAAAGAAAATGTAGAATTGAAGGAGCAATAAAATTTGGAGAGAAATCAAATTTAACACGGATAGACCGTAATTTAGTGTGCTGCACAAGTGTATCATGAACACTACCAACTTTGTCGATGGCCATGACCAATCTTAGTCCCTTCGTACATGAATATGTCACTTTACAGTCACCACAAACCGGGGGATTTTCTTGTGAAGCTGATGGAGGAATAACGTCAAGTGCAAGAAGATTTCTTCTTTCTTCTTCTACTGCTGAGCCGCCGCATAGGAAGCACACTCTACGCCAATATCCTATATTGATGTCTTGTACTCTAGGAGAACACAAAATGTCCTCTTTTCTGGATACACTAATGCATAGGTCTCGCAAAAGATCATGGATGCCGCATGTTGCTAATTCCCCCGTGACATATCTTTCACGCACAAAAGTAGATTTCGATCGAGAAGATCTTTTAAGTATTCCTCCCCAAGTTCTTCCAAACGTTTATCATTTTTTATCTTTATGAAACCTTCATCAACCCACAATCTGATAAGCTTGGAGACCTTAATATCAGCATCTTCACGGAAAGTTCTCATATAGAGGAAACATGGCTTTAGATATATAGGAAGATTATTATAACTCAAAAGTAATATGTTCAAACAATGCTCGCCATCACTTGAATTGCCAAAGGCACTTACATTTTCAGCAATTGATTCCCAATATTCTGTCGTCATGCCAGACTTTGCAAGAAGTCCTCCAATAACAGCAATTTGTAAAGGAAGCCCTCTGCAATTTCTAACAATCCCCCTTCCGATTTGCTCCAATTCTGGATGCGAACAATTTTCTTCTCCGAATACAGTTTGGCAAAATAAACTCCAACTTGTATTTGTGTCAAGAAATGTCATCGGATATGGTTCGTGAGAGCCCAATGAAGCAGCCACTTGTGATAGCCTAGTGGTCACAATAATTCGACTTCCATTCCCATTGTCCGGAAAGAACCTCCTTAAATCATACCAAGCTTGAAGAGTCCATATCTCATCCATTACAATTAAGTATCTTCTGCCATAGAGTTTCTTGCGCAATATTTCCCCAGGCCCATCTGAATTTCCACCATGTCTTTCTACTTTTCCGTCATTGATAAGACCAAGGAGGATCTCGTCGACGCTGTACTCCTGAGAAATTGTAATCCAAATGCGCATATCAAAGCGTTCCATGGAATACTTATCTTCATAAACTTTTTTAGCAAGAGTAGTTTTGCCAATACCTCCCATGCCTACAATTGGGATGATTTGGAGATTGTCGTCATATCTAGCTAGCTCACCCTTAATCTTGATCACGTGTTCCTCAAGTCCCACAATAATATTCTTTCCAACAATGGATGCAGCTGTTGAAGAACCGCCAGCAGGAACAGAAGCTCTGGTTTGTTGTCCAACCACGACCTCTTCAACAATCGATAGCTCTCGCTTGATGTAGTCAACCTTTTGGATCATAGTGTCCAAATCTTCATCGAATGATCTCGCGCCCATATGATCACTACTTTCTCCCTGAGATTCCTTCTGAAGTTGGCTCACAACATGTAAGTCAAAAATTTCTTCCATCTCCAAACTAACTTCTGATATTTGCTTCCAAAGATCTTCAGCCTTCTGGCTTTTGCTTCTATGGTTCTTTTCAAGGAACTCCAACAAGAAATTGACACCTTCTTGGAGAGATTTAATCTTTTCTATGTCGACATGAAGGCGACGAAGCTCAGCACGGTAATGAACGTTGTCGAGGACATGAGAAAGAGAAACCAATGATGCATAAGCAGCTACAGCCATCTCTCGATTCTTACAAACTGCTGAAGAAACTGAAATCCGCAGCTAATATGGATATATTTTTGCACAAATATTGAAGAAACAGATCATGGTTTGGTTCAGTCTTCTTTGTACAAACAGATCCAAACTGAATTGTTCTTTTTTTTTAATGAGAATTACGATACGAAGCAATATTAAAGCACATTTTAATGCCACTAGCTGCAAAAGCACATTTCAATGCCACTAGCTGCAAAAGCATATTTGGTCCTATATATATTTAAATTAAATAATGAATATTATTGTTGCGTTGTGGTTCTTTAGGAAATTGGTCCTACATTGCTGACAATGATGCGCACTATAATACATGTCAAATTCAAATGTTTTTTCACACCTTGCTTTGACCTAATTTCTTACATATATTTTTATTCAATTTCTCTCCTAAATGGGAGGGTGAAAAAGGTATGTATTAATTTTATTTTTTTAAGGGAATCAATATGTATCAAACATATATATTACTAATTAATTAATTCCCCTAGGACATTATATAATTAATTAAAAAGTTGATTGAATTTTTTTAAGAAAGAAGTATATATAAAGCTGCAGTTATTGTATATAATAAATTACATATATAATGTAGAGAATACACAATTTATATGAACATAATTTAAATACATGCATTATTATATTATATTATATGAAGTGATAACATCTAAAATATAAGCATAAAGCATAACGAAACTTATCTAATACATATAATATTGATTTCGACATTTTTGAATTGTGTGTATTAGAAGCCCTTAAATTGAAAAATAATTGAGCCAATGATCCATCCCATCTGTATGATTGAAATAATAATACTCCCTCCGTTCCATAGGTAAATATTTATTTGTTTTTTCAAGTTGTTTTAAAAATATTAGTATTATATTGGGATATAGTAGGAGTTAGAAATTTTGGGGGAAAATAATGAAATTGTGTTATTGATCATCAACTTATATATAGACAATACAAAATAGACTCGATAGACTCAAATCTAAGTAATCTAATCCATTAATAGGATCAAATCTAGATATAAATCTAATAAATCTAAAACTGAATATCTAAAATATCTCAACATCCCCTCAAACTCAAGTGGTATAGCAGAAACCAACTTGAGTTTGATAAGAAATTTGAATATAAACACAAAAAGAAAACATAAATAAAAGTAGTAGTAGACTCTCCGTTGGAACCGGAAATGAGATGACTTTCCACCCCGGAGCAAAAAATGAGATGATTCCACCGGAGCCGAAAACGAGATGACTCCACCGGAGCCGAAAATAAGATGACTCTCCATCGGAGCTGAAAACTAGATGACTCTTCACATTAGCAAAAAATGAGATGACTCCACTAAAGTCGAAAATTACATGACTCCACCGTATCCGAAAACGACATGACTCCACCAAAGCCGAAAATCACATGACTCCACCGGAGCCGAAAATAAGATGACTCTCCATCGGAGCTGAAAACTAGATGACTCTTCACATTAGCAAAAAATGAGATGACTCCACTAAAGTCGAAAATTACATGACTCCACCGTATCCGAAAACGACATGACTCCACCAAAGCCGAAAATCACATGACTCCACCGGAGCCGAAAACCACATGACTCCATCGGAGCCGAAAACCACATGACTCCATCGGAGCCGAAAATGAGATGACTCCACCGGAACCTAAAACAACATGACTCCACTGGAGCCGAAAAGACACGACTCCACTGGAGCCGAAAACGAGATGACTCCACTGGAGCCGAAAAACGAGATGACGCTCCACCGGAGCAAAAAACGAGATGACTCTCCACCAGAATCGAAAACTATATGACCACCGGAGCCGAAAACAGACAAATCGCAAACATCGGATATATCAAATTGCACGCAGGCAACAGACAAACAGCGGACAAATGGCAGATCATAGACAGATTTCCGGCAACAAAAAAGCAACAAAAGATGACAAATCGCAGCGAGACGAGACAGATTTGCAAAAAGACTTTCAAATGCATGATCTCAAAATCACAAGACCTTCTCAAAATCATAAGACCTCTTGGTACAATTCAGGTTGAATGTACCCGGAGAAACACGGGTTGGTAGGCTATACCTACGGCATGAGAAAGATAAGCTCTGATACCATATTAGAAATTTTGGGGGAAAATAATGAGATTGTGTTATTGATCATCAACCTATATATAGACAATACAAAATAGACTCGATAGACTCAAATCTAAGTAATCTAATATATGAATATGATCAAATCTAGATATAAATCTACTAAATCTAAAACTGAATATCTAAAATATCTCAACAGTACGAATAAAGTATAAATAACTAAAATAACCTTATTAGTATGTGTGATATAAAGGTAATGGCATGTGTGATATATTGTAAGTTGTAAGGGTATTTGTAATGTTAGGTAGACAGTTACTAAAAAAAATAGATTATTTGTTATGGGACGGGTTTAGGGTTTAGGGTTTATGGAAAAATGGATATATGGAAAGATAATTACGGTGGCACTAAAGCGAGTCTTAACTGAATCATTAGGGGACAGCCAAAACATTTGTTAATTGGAGTGCAGACGTAGGATGTCTTGGCCTTATGCCTTCTCCAATCACCTACCAAAATTTATTTATAAATATTATTTAGTTGAAAAAAGATATAAAAATCCAGAAGTTCACATATTTTTTAATTTTTATATTATACTAAAATCAATTTTACATTTACATCAACGTCTGTTTATATTACCTATTTATTTGAATACTATATGACATTCACAAAAAAAAAAAAAAATTATACCAACACAATTCTCAAAATATATAATATATATTTTATTTTTACACCAAAAAAAAAAGATTTAGTGAAAAATATTATTTTTTATATTAACCATATTTTACATATTTCTAATTTCTGTTTTGGACTCACTATATTTTATTTTTGCACAAAAAATTAGGATTTAATGCAAAATATTATTTTTTATATTAACAATATTTACATACTTCTAATGCCTGTTTTGGACTAAAAACATCGTCCATAACCATATATTTTTATAGAAAAAAAAAATTCAGATAATTCATTTTACTAACTTCTTTTTTCTAAAAATATTAAATCTAATATCTATTTTTATTTATTATATTACATTAAAATTTAATTTTACATTCAAAATATCACATCACTATTTAAATTCAAAATTTTACTATTCTAAACTAAAATCCAAAAACTAAAATATTTCCATAAACACACCCTTACAGCACTAAATCAAGACATCCTAAGGTAGGTTTTTGTATTGACAAGAAAATGATCAGCTTCAAAAAACATAAAAAAAATAATGCTTACTTGCATAGGCTAATGTATTTAGCAGCAGAAAGAATTAAACCCATAAAGCATGCAAGATTTCAATATCCATGACCATGATCATGAAAATGAGGAAGAAGGTAATGATTCAAAATATAAAGAGTAGTCGAGATTGCGAGGAATATAAGAGATTGATCGATTACCCTGTGAGCCAACTAGAGGATCATCTCAGGCTTTCTTTTTGTCTTCCCACGACGAATGGATATGAATTTGCAGATGCGAAAATGGAAAAAAATTCTTTCGGTGAGGCTCTTGTATTTTTTTAGCCGAAGTGGCGACTGATGGACAACAATCTTCCAACTCCACTATATAAAGGATGTAGATGTCCCCAAAACCGATAGGAATCTCGCGCAATTTGTAGCAATGTCGGATTGCTAGGCTCTGCAGTTTAGGCAAATGTAGAGTGTCAGCTCCCCAAACCTCCATGTCCAAGTCTTCTAGCAGTAAGTATTCGAGAAAGAGAAGTCCCCCCTGAGCAAATTCCCACACTGGGCCGCGAAAGGCATTGCATCGAAGTTTTAGTACTCGAAGAGAAGATAAGTTGCAAAGGACTGTCATACGCTTCCATGGAAATCTGCATCCACTCAATGTTATCTTTCTAATTTTACAGGGAAATTTGGGGAGTTCTGGAATAACTCGAGTGTTGAAACCCGAGACAATGCATTTGAATGAATCGAGGTCAGGTTTCATATCGGCAATGTCGCTGAAAAAACCGAAGTTTTCTTTTTCTTCCTGTCCTAGCACGATACGGATTCCTAACTTCCTTAGATTAGTCATTCTTGCAAGAATTCCCCTAGTGCAGCTGCGAGCACTCACATCAGACAATGTTTCGAGGTTTGTAGAAAAGTTTGATCTGTACAAGGATCCAGTAGGTCGAATTCTGAGCACTGGAGGTGCCATAGCTGCTTCAAATTCCAGATTTCTGTAGGTAGATAAGAAACACCCTCCGAGGATTTTATATCTACATGTCGACCCACGATCAAAACTTGAAGTTTTTGAAGTTTTGATAGACTTTGGGAGTACTCCACCGTATGTGATGGCGAGGTACTTCAGCCGAACTAGATTTAGTATTTGGTCCGGGAATGTGTAGAAGCGGATTGTAACTGCATTTAATACCTTCAACAATGTAAAACATAAGTTTATCCGCATTGGATATGGATTATACGGACCTAAACAGAGAAGAGACCGTATGGATAAAATCGACTCCATTGTGGCGCGCACTTCCTCAATGCCGAGAATAACATTGTTGTGGCTGCACATCCGCGGGTGATGATTTGTTCCCAGGGGAAAACTATATGTATATTTATTTAGAACATGGCAAAACTTCTCCTTCTCGGCTATACTAATGCATAAGTTCCAAAAGACATAATGGACTCGACATGCTTTGAAGTTCAAGAATGTGGAGCTCTCTTTGTGAACCAGAACAACACTTGCCGAGACAAGTTCATCCAGCATAACCTCAGCGTCGACTCGATAACTTCTTCCACCTGTAAAACCCTCCATTGCCCATAATCTAATGAGTTCAGAGACAGATATCACGTAGCTCCGTGGGAACACTCCTGCATAGAGAAAGCACGTCTTGTAATCACGACGCAACATGGCATAGCTCATGAGGAGTGACTTTGTGATGTGAGAGTTGTCGTCGACCCCAATACAAAGTGGATTTTCATCCTCGGAAACATTTTTCCAATATTCGACTGTCTTCTCATTTTGGCGCAACAGCTTGCCAATGGAAACAATAGCTAAAGGAAGTCCTTCGCAGTTCTTGGCAATCTTCTTCCCGATTTCCTCAAGTTGGAAGCTTCAAGATTCTCCGGGACTTGTGAACACTGTCCTGTGAAGTAGTTTCCAGCTATCGTCATCGTCCAAGAAGCATTTTTTCTGAAAATATTGTTCTAAACAGGCAAATATTTAACAGCCTAGAAGTTATGATGACTCGACTTCGCTTACATTCTGGCGGAAAATAGCTATAAACACGCGAAAAGATTTCTTTTTCCCACACATCATCTAACACAAGTAGATACCTCTGCGTCTCCATAAGTCCGCGAAGATGGATCCATAATTCGGAAACATCGGTAAACTTTTCATTCTTCTCGCCTTCTATATGGTCTACGAGAATTTGTAGAAGTTCTTTCTCCTCAAAGTTGGGACCAACATCGACCATTATTTTGGTGTCGAAAATGGATGCAATAGATGGATGGTTGTAAACTTTTTCGACTAAAGTAGTCTTACCAATACCAGCCATGCCGACAACAGCCTTGATCTCGAGGTTTTCAGGGCCTCCAACCACCCAATCCATGAGTTGTCTTAGCTCCTCCTCCAACCCCACAGGATCACACTCAGATCGACAGATCATTCTTGATGAAACAACAATACCACGAGGATCGTCTGTTACTTTCTCTTCTTTAAATTTGTGTACTTCCAAGGAGAACTTTTTGAGCAAGGAAATGAGTTGTTGCTGAAGATCGATCAATTCCGGGGAGAGTTTATCGGCAGTGTCTTGATTTTTAACTTCAGATTCAGATTCAGATTTATCTGATGGTTGTAAGAAAAGTTTCATTAGATCTGCAAATTCTTCTGCTAGGTCTTCGATTTGCTGTTCCAAGGGATCCACCTCAGCTTCCTGCCCCGCATTAAAGTGTAATTACTGACGAGATTAATCATGGAACTTAGCTCGCCATGGATGGATTCTATTTCCGGACAACATTTGGATTTGGATGAATCGAGGAAGCTCTTCAGTTTATCCTTGGCTGATACAAGAGCCCAAAAAGCCAAGTCTGATCTCGAACACTCTTTGCTAATACTCTCACCACAAGACAATCTGCACTTATCCTTAATTACTACCAATCATTCTTCCATTCATAGAGATTGAAGTCATAAAGTAAAGGAGAAGATAATAGAACACGGCGAGTGTATAATAGAACACGCCCATGTTTGTCACGATAAAAACATGTTCATGAATCAGAGTACACGGCTGTGTTCCATTATACACAGCCGTGTACATTCTTACAGCCTGTCTATTAATAGTGAAAGTACAAGGATTTCATTCTTGTCCTAGTCTCTTGGATCTTCCACACAAAAATTATAGATCAAGATTGGAATTAACAGATTAGAAAGAATCATCGAAGGATTTGTTCTAATGAAGAAACAAAACCCTTGAACTTGCCCCTTTGTTTTTTTTATCATCGTCTATACATACATACATATACACATATATATATATATTTATAGATTTGTATCTTCTGATTTGCATATATTATATATAGATTTTGATAAAGTTTTTTTAGGTTTTCAGGACAATTTTTACAAATCAAAGTTTGAAGTAAAAATTAAAATCTAGAAAAGTAATTAGATAGTTAAAAGCACAGTGTTGGAGTTTTCGAATCAAATTTAGTTTCTCATTTTTCAGAAATTAAATCAAATCAAAATTTCGGAAAATTATAATTCAAAATAGCCTTTTTTTTTTTTTTTTTCACCAAAAGCTACAATTTTTATAGATCAAATTAAGCCCAAAATCTCCAAAACAATCTTCTTGAACTTGTAATTCATCGATTAATTAACATACAGGAATTGAAGCTCTATCGAAAATTGAATCATCAAGCAGCTACGGCTATTCGAACCCTTCCTGTGCAGCTTGTAAATTCCTCTGCCGAAAATGTATGTCGGGTTGTTCTGCCGGAAAAGCCGACAAAATTCTCAAAGAAATCCCACACAGCAGTGTACTTTCACCATTAACAGACATGATGTAGGAACTTACACGGCCGGGTATAATGGAACACAACAGTGTACTTTGATTTATCATATTTTTACTGTGACAATACGGGCGTGTGCTATTATATACGGTCATATTTTGTCGTTATTTTCCCTAGGTCCACGTAAGCTATTGAGACTAAAATTGATTAAAATAGTTTATATTGAATCAAAATTGATGAGTTTTTTATATTGGGACTAAAATCAATTAATTTTGATTATATTTGAATTAAAATTGATTTTTTTCCCTTAATTTAATTATAACTTTATCCAACATAATCACAGGTTTAGTTTTAATCATTAATTAAAAATTCTTATATTATACTCTTGTCCCCGCCACACATCTTTTCTTTTTGTCCATTCTGGTGTATTCAGTCAGATCTTGAGGTATTCAAAACTTTTAAAAATCCTTTTAAAATCTTGAAGTATTCAATGAAGACGTCTATGGATTTTATTTAATTTTAATGGACAATTATGAAAAATTTGTACATGAGAAAATCTCTCATGATAACGAGATTTTTGGATGAATTTTTAAAATTATTATTATTATTATTATTATTTATTATTATTATTGTTGTTGTTGACAATATATAAGTGATAAATAATATGGTAATATTTATTAATATCAATTTAAATATTTAATAAAAAGTAATAATTTAAAAATAAAATATATTAAGAAATTATTATCAACTTTTTTTGAAAATATGTATTTTATATTATAAATATAATATTTGGAAATTACTATTATCATAATAAATATGTATTACTATTTTTTTTATTATAGAATACACTGTATTGTCGGTATAATTAACTAAACATATACAGCTAGTTATATTTATTTACTTCTTACTTTTTAATTTTATTTCTTATGAAAAATTGTAAATGCAATTTTTTATTTTTGGTGTGATTGTTTTGTGAAATCTTTTGAAGGGATATTTTTTTAAGTATAAGAAATTGTGCATATAATATAAAAATAATGGATGTGTGTGATATATTAATTTTGTAATTTATACATTAATTTTTTACAAAATTTATTACATAAGAATAATAATAATAACTAACAAAAAATATAAAAATAAATTGATATAGTTAATGATAATATAATAAAAATTATAAAATTTAAAATATAATATAGAAAATAGTAGCATTATATATGTTACAATATTTCTATATCGTTAATAATTATATATTATTTATTAATATTACTTATATTTTATAAAATATAATAAAATATAATAAATATATTATATTTGTAAACTTTGTGTTACATAAGTTTATACAATGATATAAATCAACAAAAAAAAATATATATTTTACAATTCTACAAAATCTATATAAATTCATAAAAAAATCCATATAAATTCATAAAAAAAATCCAATGAAATCTATAAGAATCCATTTAAATTAATTAATAAAATCCATCAAACTCTGCATGGATTCCGTGCACTTTCTAAATCCACATAAATCTATAGGTTTTTTAAAATTCAAAACAATCCAATGAAATCTCAAATGAATACACCCCCTAAATTTCTAATCTCTTACACCACTCAATTTTATTTTTTTTATCACTCTCGTCGATTAACAAATATTTTTTATTTACCTTTAAATCTCTCTATTTTTTATAAAACTAATTTGTGGCAATGATAAATAAATATATTTTTATTTGTTTGTATCATATGAAATGTTATTATGTACAAAATAATATTCATATTCGCTAAAAAAAAAAAAAATCTAATTAGCTACAATATTTTTAATTACAAAATATTTTTTTTTAATTAAAACGTCTCGTTTAGCGACAAAATTTAATTTATCGCTAAAACTAAATCATTTAGTACAAAATTAATTTCGTCGCTAAAAATATTTTGTTAGAAAAGTCTATTTTCATGGCAAAAGGGTTTCAGTTACAAAATTATTTTTCATAACTAAAACCATTTGCTAAAAAAATTATGCATATTTTGTTGCTAAAACTCTTTTGTTATGAATTTTATTTTTACAGCAAAAAATTTTATCTACATAATTATATTTTCGTAGCTATATGTTGTTTCTTAACCTTCATTGAAATAAAAAACTCATTTTTTGTTACCATAGTCATATTTGTGCCAAAACCCCTTACTAACGCACTATAGGCGACGAAATAAGTTTCATCGCAAAAACATTTTTGCTATGAATTAAGTACATATTGCTGCGAATTTTAATGTAGCTAAATTTCAACTTTTTGTAGTGATTGTATATATTTTATTGATATATAATGTTAAAAATAATTAAAATACCAACAACACTAATATAAAAAATAATAAAGTAATATCATAATTTATTATTAATAACTTACTTATTTATGCTAAATAAAATACCGTTTCCTTAACCAAATGGGTCATCTGACCCGGGACAGAGGAAGTAATAGTTAAATTGAGAGTGATTAATTTTGTATGGTACTAACTTATCTTTAATTACTTCTACATTTATTTTAGAAGTCCATTGTACCTTTCATTAATAATTGATTTAAAAATAATTATAATGAATTAATGATATGTTACGATAAAATATAATCAAACCAAATATTGGTACCTATTTAATAAATAGTCCTATCAAACAATAAGTTCATTAAAGATTGTTTTTAATTACTATTGAAACCAATAAAAATTATGTGGATTAAGTTGAACAGGACAAGACATGCCCCAAAATAATCAAAGACCGTCAAGCCAAAGAATATTGATCATCTCAGATTGCAAGGTGAGCCAACTCAAGAAGTATGGATGCGAAGTGACGTAAGGATAAGTCATGGGTAAGGATAAGTCATGAGTTCAAACTCTAACGCCTCACAGATTCCCACGTCTTTAAAAAAAAAAAAAAAAAAAAAAAAAAAAAAAAAAAAGAAAGAAAGAAAGAAAGAAGAAGAATAAGAAGAATGGATGCCAAGTTGAAGATGGATGCAAGTGAATTTTTGGGGGTGATTCTCCATCATGTATTTATGTGTATAGTCAATTAGGCTAGAGGTAGTTAGCCATCTTCAACCTCTATCATCTCAAGTGGTTCGACGTCTTCGAAGAAAAGACAATTCAGTTCTTATCTAATTTGTATGAATGTTTAATAGTTTATAACATTGTTTAATAAGTTTATTTTGTTCCAAAATAAATATATTTATAGA